ATGGTAAGCTACAGCAGCGTCACCTGCCTTGCCCTGCATTTGCCCTCCAACTTGCATCCTTGCAGGTCATTTCTCTTTTTGGCACCTCCAACCCAAGCACTATAATTATTCAAGCGATTTGCCCACCCTCTTACCCCTGTTGTCTAGCACCGTTACAAATTTCTTTGCTATATAATTTATATAATCCCCAAAATGAATCACATGTACGTGAACATGGTATTGGTATAAGAAATTGAGTTTTTTTTTTTTTTTTTACTAAATCACTCAGTATTCGAAAATTACATTGAATTTTAACTAATTTAAAGTCGAGTCACATCAGATCCAATAAAGAAGAAACTCTCCTAACTTTTTTTCTTTGTTTACAAAATTTGAAGTCTAAATCTTATTTAAGAAGAATTAAACTATTTTCACCAAGATCATAAATTATTGGTGGTTTAAAAAAAATAAACTAAACACAAATATAAAAAAGTGAAATGAAACTAAACGAACATAAAATTTAACCATTGTTGAGCATAACCAACTTAGCTTACAGAACAAAAGACATTCCTTAATTTCATTCTTCCAAAGACAAACCAACACCACAAACTTTTTTTTTTTTCTGAGAACAAAGATGGAACGGGAAGAAATCACGTACATATGCCACTATGCTGGCACCACAAATTGAAAAGCTTATTCAGTCATTCGGACAGCCTAACCAGTATCTTGCAGCAACAACAGAGAGTCTTCAAGAAGCAGCAGCAACACTTACCCATCCGCAATATCATCAACCTCTTTTGGTAATAACTGTTCACTTTCTTGCACATGTCGTCATAATGGAAGTGAGTGACAGGAACATCGTCGCATATCTTGTTGAAGAACTTGGCGGCATCCTGTGGACTCAATACTGAGTTAGAAATAATGCCATTGCTACATAGTATGTGAAAATCATTGACACTGCTGATGAGATTATTCATAAATTTGGCATAAGAGGTGAATATAGAAGGAAGCCCAGAGCAACACTGCTCAAAGGCAATGAGGTTGCTTAAGATCGTTTCAGTGGCGTAATGAATTGATAGAGATGGGAGTTCAACAACTCCAGAACGATATTTAATATCCAAGATGCATCTTGATTTGCGTCTCTTGAATTTGATCCCGGCCTCGCTAAGTATACTGGCAGAAGGCAGATGCGTTTTTGCTTCTGTAGGTTCCTCCATTTTCTCGCAACTGGATGCCTCTGTAGGTTCCTCCGTTCTCTCGCAACTTGATGACTCTTCCCGTCCGCTTTGTGAAGAATTTGCTCGCAGATATTTCCATAACAGATCAATAACATGCAAGATATCGCTGGGACAAAATTCATTTGCTCCAGGAAGATCATCATGGGAGAAAATCTTACTCAAGAAACGAATGGCAAGTTGATGGAGCTCAACATTTGGTTCTCTTGTTCTCTCATTGGTAAGGTTGAAAATATCCTGCAGCACAAACCAAGGTATTTGGTTTTCCAGTAAAATCAAGTCAAGGTAAAGAGACTGGAGCATCCAGGGCTTGGTGAATATAGGATCATGTGGATCTCTACTTTCGGCGTTGGAATACTTGAGAAACAACTCAGTGATAAAGCAACCATCAAGCACCAAAATCTTCACTAATTCATCATCACTGAAACTAATCTTTCCAGCGTAAGACTGACGAGCTAGATCATTTTTATTACGGACAGCACAGACCAACTCTAGCAGCTTTGCACTTCGATCTGGAAAACGATCGAGGAGACCATTAAGATAGTTGACTTTCAGCCCTTGTGTGGGTTGAAGATTGCATTCGTCATGGTGCCAAGGCCCAAAGGAGAATGCATGAGGAAGATAAGCCTCCTTGTTATGCTTGGAGAGAATGTTTGGGATTCTGAAAATGCTACTCTTCCTGGATACTGTGGGTTCGTTGGAAGATGTCAGCAATTCCAGTTCAGCTGCGATGCGTTTTCCATTATCTTCTGCGGCTCTTTCCATTTTCAAGGCTTCTTCTACATAATAGGAAACCAAAAGAAAATTAGACACCAAATTAAAACTCGCATCGGTGAGAATTCAGGAATTTTTTTATTTAAATTATGTACTTGTAAGTGCTTTGGGCTCTATTTGATTTATCTGTTTGAAAGAGCTGTTAGTTGATATTTATTACATAACAATTTGAAGTCCGCTGATTTGAAGACCAAATCAAACACACCCGAAGACAGATTACCTGCTGGAGATGCAGGAGATATTATGTCAGGTTGAAACAAGAATCGGCAAATATATGGGACACTAGAATGAAGAATCTGCAAAGAAAACAAGAAAGAGGGAAGATATACATTGAGATTGTAGGAAAGAATCAAACAACGAAATAGTACAAGTGGGTGAGAAAACTCATAGTGCTTGCTTACATTAAGAGCTTAGAGCCTTGCTGTTGAGGCCTCCAAGTTATAGCTACTTAAATGAATGAACGAAGAAGGGTAGGTAACATCAAAAGGAGGACATCTAAGATATGTGCAGACATAGTATCATTAGGCTATCCAGAGTGTGAGATGAAGAAAATTGTGGGGGATGGATTTAAATGGAAGTTAGGGGACGCACCACGAGAAAAATAACTTTTAGTGATAAAAATTTGTGATGAATATTGAAATTGTAATTATAATTCATTACAATTGTGATAAATTTTAAAAATTGATAATAGATATGCACATGTTCAAAGATGACAAAAATAATTAATCACTAGAAAGATATTTCATCATTAAAAAATAATCATAAAAAAAACACAGACTTGTGACAATAAAAATCATCACTACAACTTGTTTTAATTGTGACAAATTTTAAATCTTGGTCATAAATACCCACATGTACTATAATGACAAAATAAATTGTTATTAAAATTATACTTCGTCACTAAAAAAATAATCATAAAGAGAATATAAGCTTCAAATAATAAAAGCTATCACCATAACAATTACAATTATGATAGATATCAAATACTAGTCACCGATACTCATGCGCTTAATATTAATAAAATAATTATGTAACTAAAAGGATATTTTGTTATTGAAAACAATTCCATATACTATTCAGACTTATGGCAATAAAAACCATTATTGTAAAATAAGTAATTGTGACGACAAATTATTCGTCACAAATACTAAATATTATTTATGATAAATTTTTATTCAAAACAAATATTATATTTAATGATTATGCAATAAGTCTAAAATAAGTAAAATCACCGATTGTAACTAATTTTTTCATCACTAAATTCCCTTCAATCCGTACATCCTCCAAACCACCGTCCGTACTACAACTACCACTTGAAAAAAAAAAAAAAAATCTAGGATAATGTCAAATATAGACCACCTAATTTAAGCAAAAATTACAATTCTTGTATCCTATTTTAATATCTCTCTAG